TCCTTCCTTCCTTCCTTCCTTCCTTCCTTCCTTCCTTCCTTCCTTCCATGGCAGAAAGCATATTTGCTACATTTACCATTATAAACCATATCAAAGGAATATATTTAAAATCCAGATCTTCATTCAAGCATACTTTGTTTTCAATGACATGCAGATCTAATGTATATTCAAATACATATCCTCATATGGAAAAGGAATGCACATTTGCTTATGCATCTAAAGACAGAAGCCACGCAAAGCAGCAAACCTTACCTGTTACAGGGTCATCTACAGAATAAGTCAAGATGGTGACTGCAACTATACAAATATACCCTTTTCTTTATATGGTGATGCCCCATGTATGTAGCTGACAGTTTTTGAAAGAGACAAAGTGAGTTCTAAGCTAGCAGAGGCTCTTCTTTTTATGTTCTGACTGGAGCAAAACTTTCTTTCTTTAGTTTATATGTCATTTTGCATCAAAATATCTGGGACTTCTCGAACTAGTAGAAAGAAGAAAAAACAATCATTTAGAAAAAGAAGACTGAAACCCTTAAGTCAAGCTCAACTTTGGATTTTTGCAGACAACCATCTAATTTTCTCACCAACACTGGAACTAGTTTATAACTACCATCTTGTAGAATATTTTTCAATTTCCCCAAGGAGTATAAAATCCTGGAATGTCCTAATTTTTTCCCACCTATGTACTAACCAGACCCAATCCTAACTAGCTTCCAAACTCAAAGGACAGTTGCCACTTGCTAAGTTACTATACAAGCTCTTATAGAACTGGAAGCCATACTTTTCCATGTGGCCATACAGAGAGGAAGAGGTAGTGATGCCAGAAATTCCACAAGAAGTCAGGAGCTTCAAGCAGCTAACAATAGAGTGGCAACCATTCTCAGCCTGTTGCTCCTATCCTCCAGTCTACATTCTGTGGCATAAAGCTAGAATCTGACTTACTATGGAAATGAAAGAATTATAAATGATATTATTGGTGCTGGAAATATGACCACCTTTTGCATTTTCAGCCTCCTAAGGAGACCAACAGTTTGATCATTAGGAATCTGTTACAATCTAATGAATGATACCAATAGGTGTCCCAATGTGTAGAATAGCAATAGCAGTTAGACTTATATGCCACATCATAGTGATTTACAGCACTCTCTAAGCAGTCTATAAAGTCAGCATTTTGCTCCCAACAATCTGGGTTCTCATTTTACCGACCTTGGAAGGATGGAAGGTTGACTCAACTTGACCCAGTCAGGATCGAACTCCTTGCAGTGAGCAGAGTCAGCTTGTACTGTGCCACCAGAATTGGTCTTGATCAAAGCCAGACTGATTGGTCTCGTGGTTGAGGCTCCAAAGTAGAAAATGGAAGGCCATGACATCTATCCTGCACAAAGCTGGTCTAAGTGACCTTTGGCCTCTCCCTGCCTCTTTCCCTCTGCCTTAGCAAAGGTAAACTACTCCAAAAAAAAAAACTTGCCAAGAAAACTGGAAGGACTAGTCCAGGTAGATATAAAGAGTAAAAAACTTAAGGAAGGAAGGAGGAAGGAAGGAAGGAAGGAAGGAAGGAAGGAAGGAAGGAGGCTCTAAGGCAGGGGTGTCAAATTCACAGCCCACAGGCTGGATGTGTCACACTGGCCACACCCACACCTGTTTAATGAAGGGGAAAAAAGTAGTGATACATCACATGATGACGCCGTGATGATGCGAGTTTAACACTCCTGCTCGAAGGGATTTTTTTTTAACAAAAAGACTTTTAGAGACTTCATGTTTTTCAACATTGGCAGTGTAGCAGTTTAATGAAATGGAACAATTCCCCTGCCTTTTTATTATTTTTAAAGGGGGGGGGAGCTGTACAACAATCCCAGTCTTACAAAAATTCTGAGCTTTATAATCCCAGAATTACCCTTCTACCTTTCTATTTCTTTGCAATTTGCTATCAGGGAGCCCCATCTGTTTCTCTTGGCAGTTCCTTTGCACCATAAAAGTACAGAATTGTGGTGCTTGTAGCTTCTGGCTTGAAAGCCAGGCTCTTAAAGGAGAATGAAAATGGGAGCACAGTAAAGATTGTTTTGGAGAAAGCGTATGGACACAATGTTTGATGAGGTCCATAAAAATAGTTGGAGAAATTGCCAAGCACATGGAGTTGCTATCTATGGACAAAGTGTTTTGTGACACTTTTAAGGTTTGTTGTTTGATGCATATGCAAGCCAGAGCGCTTCAAACAAGACTACTGGGCCAAGTAATTTTTCAGTGACTTTTGCATCATAAAATTTGTGACAGAGTTCTGTGTGCAAAACTCTTTGTACTGGGTAGTCCATAAAATACAGTGCAGTTTGCACAACTGGGAAAAAGAGAATTAACTGCACAGGTTTCTCCCCTTTCCATTTTTCTTTTTTCTTTTGTTTTCGGTGCATTAGATTTACATATTGCTTTCCTCCAGGAGTTTGAAACATTAAAAATAGCACTCCATTTTTCCTAGAAAAATATGGGCTGAGGAAAAGTTAGTGGTCCAGAATCATCCAGTCTGCTTTCACATTTAATGGGCTACCTGAACTTAGATCTCTTCTGCCTTTGTTCATAACAATTCACCAGTTTTTCTTTCCTTTTTTCCCCTCACCTCTCTATTTGACCAAACCCTGGAAGTAAGACATGGGCAGGTTGTTTCTATCTAGGTTGTAAACCCTGAAAGTGAGAAAGTGATAGCAGGTCAACGAAAAATCGGTGACAAACAAGCCAATCAGACTATCAACCAAACAAATAAAAGCAATGTGCCAGTTTGTATCATATCTAGGGTAGGTTTCCTTCCTCATCTGA